CCTGCATTCACTAGAGTCAGACTTTCCCAATTCCACCCATTCACACACTTGCCCACTCTAGAACCGTATGTGTGCCCCTAAGCCGCCAGGCCTCAACTAATGCTCCAATAATCGCCACACACACCTCCGTCACCACCAGAAAATATGTGAGGCAGCGTGGTGGAATCAGGCTCTCGGCAATTCTTGGGCATGTAGAGTTATTGGTATCATCTTAACGCTTGTTCACTTGTCTTTATTTGGATGCAAACAACATCCATTTATCTTGAATACAAGTCGAGATATTTACAACAGAAGGAGGTGGGGGGTCACCTGTTTTCAGAGGTAAAATTACTGAGAAAATGGCCGCCAAAGATTAGTTATTTCCTTAGCTTAAGGGTCCATGGTAACTGAAAATTTACTTTTTTTGTGCCTTTAATCAACGTTTTTCGGAAAAATTCACACAGAAATGAGTTCTTTAATGGACATGAAAGGTGATGAGCTAAAAAAAAAAATGATAAAAATTTACAAATCTGCGGAAAAAAGCAAGTTTCTTCACTTTGATTATTTTGACGAGAGCCTGATTCCACCACGCTGTCTCACATATATTTATATATATTATAAGATCTACGGCTCACTGCTGCCTTAGTCCCGCTACACACTTGTCCCACTTGGAACTTTATGGAGTTTATCGTCTCTTTAATCATCGCTGAAGGGGTATTGCATTGAACTCAGGACCTCGTCAGCGCTCATATTATGACCTTATGCAGTTGCGAGCGCCGTAAAACACTTACTAAAACTAAATGGGCCCGACTGCTCATCACCGACAGGACGAGCCAAGTTGGTGGAAAGTGTTGAAAAGTCTAAAAAAAAAAGTACATAATATAAGAACGCCAATTTAGGGATTAGAATTTAAAAAATGGTGAAATAATATGTGAGGCAGCGTAGTGGAATCAGTTTCTCGTCATTTTTGGGGCATTTAGAGTTATTGGTATCATCTTATAGCTTGTACACTTGTCTTTATTTGGATGAAAAAAATAACCATTTATCTGTAATACAAGTCGAGATATTTGCGAATGAAGGAAGTGGGGGTCACCTGTTTTCAGAGGTAAAATTGGTGAGAAAATGGCCGCCAAAGATTAGTTATTTCCTTAGCTTAAGAGTCGGTGGTAACTGAAAATTTGCATTTTGTAATGCTTTTAAGCAACGATTTTCAGAAAAATCCACACAGAAGTTAGTTCTTTAATGGGCCTGAAAGGTATGCTGAGCTAAAAAACAAAAATTTGATAAAAATTAATAAACCTGCGGGGAAAATGCAAGTTCCTTCAATTTGATTATTTTGACGGGAGCCTGATTCCACCACGCTGCCTCACATATAGGTTTAACGCGCTTACCAACACTGTTAGGTTATTAAAGAGGTGGGATCTCCGAGTTTAACGTTCACCTCCGAAAGCACCGAGCCAAAATGGGAATTTCGTGTAAAGTGTCTTTCCTAGGGACACAACGTCGGACAGATCTGAGGCTCGAACTCCCAAACCCGCAATCTCACGATTACGAGTGTGGTTCCCTAACCACAAGGTCACCGTAGCCAGGATTAGAATCACCACCATCACAACAGAAATAACAACAACAACAACAACA